CCCCAAAACCCCAAAACCCCAAAACCCCATAATTCATTTTCTAAAAAGTAATAAAAATTAAAAAGATTAATAACTTTATTTTTAATTTGTTTATTATAATATTGAAATATGAAACTTAGAGGAGACTTTATTGAAGCAATTAGCAGATTATATGTTGAAAAGCATAAACCTTAGTAATACAAGAAACTTATTGATAAGGAATAATAAGATGAAACTTTTACTTGGTCTTTTACTAAGATTGCATTGCATAATAAAAGCTTCTATGATTTAATAAATAAACAAGAGGGGTTCTTAGCTCTTCAATCCTATTTCCTCAAAGCTACACTACTTCTTGACAGAGATGCAATTGCTTTTCCCTAATCATCAGTAAACGGGGACTAAATACCTTTACTGTATCAACAACTATCATCTTACCCCGGAAATGGATAGAATAGATACACAGCTAATACTAATTGTTACTCAAACTTTTGCTTTGAAGTGGATGAATTCAAATTCTTTAAGATCATATAAAATGTAGTTGAGTATCAAAAATCTGCATCAAATGAAGTTGATTTAGAGGATGAAATTATTCAAAAAGACACAGTAAGTGATTAAGATGATAATAATCATTCATACGCAGATGCCAATCAATTAGACTGGCTAGCAAGTACAGAGCTTTACGATATTCTAGACTCTTGTGGATTTGAGTCAGTTGGCTTCAGGGAATTCTGCGCTTTCGTATTAATAGTAGCAGCTATACCCTCGGCTTAGCTAACTAAATGCCTCTATGACCACTGTGCTCTGTTGTTTGATATTGTTGCAGCTGGTTAGATCAACATTTCTGGGGAAAGAATGAAACTGCTCGGAAGAATAATTAGCATAAATGAAGACATAATGTAAAACATATGTGATCAGTTTGACGTCGGGTTTACGACTATCGTTTCCTATGAGGATTTTCAAATGTACTATTTTGAAGTCTTCTAACAAGTAGACTCTATTATTCAGGATTAATTGATGGAGTAGTAGCAATTGAAGTAGTTATAAGAGGATAATTAGCAATACAATTAAAATGAAACAGACGAGAATCAAATTGAGTTGGTGAATAATAAGACCACCAAGACTAAGAATAATGCTTAGTATAATCAGCTAGTTCAAGATTCAATTAAACTAGAAGATCATAATCATAATAAGATAGAGGACTCTGTTAATTAAATAGACTCTAGCTCCTTTCTATTTGAAAAGATAAACAATTCAAAGGATAATGAGAAATTGATAGAAAAGCTCAAGAAACCTAAGCCTAGAAAACTTGAACCTCTCATGAATGAAAATAATTAGCAGCCTTTATAAACGAAGAAAAAGGCTGTAGACAAAAATAAAACAAGGGATTCGATCTTAAATCAAAACATTAATGAAGAAGATGAGGAAGGCAATGAGAGCGAGAGATATAGAGGTGGTGCAAGCAATACAGCTTTTATTTAAAGTAGCACAGTCAGAGGAGACGCTTATAATAATAGTAGAGAAAGTAATAATGAGAGAGCAAGTATCGTTAAAACAGGGTTATAGACTGAGCTTAAAAAGAGTAAGCAGAATGCCTTTTGTTGCAGGCCTGGAGCATGCAGTATTTTCTGATTATATAACATAAAATATCCTTATTAATCTTAATTTCATAAATTGAGTAAAATCAAATTAAATGACCAGTGGGGTTTTGGGGTTTTGGGGTTTTGGGG